TGAATACTTTCAATTTCAATGGAGCACATTACCTTCAAATTAGAGGTTGTGCTATGGGCACCATTGCAGCTCCATCATATGCTAAAATATTCATGGGAAAATTTGAGGAGACCCAAATCTCTCCAATCATTGGTAGCGACTGCGTATTCTATGCAAGATATATCGATGATATATTCTTTGTATACACGGGTAGTGATGACAAACTTACACAATTCCTAATGACCCTAAACACAGTGCACGACTCAATTAAATTTAACTATGAAAAATCCACAACATCAGTAACATTTTTAGATACCCGCATTTACATAGATGAAAACAGGAAACTACAAACGACGCTACACACTAAAATCACTGACAATCACAACAATCTACACTTTACGTGTTCCCACCTTAAACACCTCAAAGAGAACCTTCCCTATTCACAGACTTAGAAGAATTAAATAAACACATTGAAAATATGGAGCATCAATTCACAACACGTGGCTATAAACAACACTTTATCAGGGAACAAATGAATAAATCAATTTCCACACCAAGAGAAGACACCCTAATGTACAAGATTTGAAATAAATCTAGCCGCATTCCTCTAGTAACCACTTTCAACCCCACTCTGCCTCCACTATCCCAAATAATCAAACGTCACTGGGAAATACTACATCTCAAACCAGACCTAAAAAATTAAGGAACCCGTCCTTCTAGCATATCGTAGACCTAAGAACCTAAAAGAAATCATAGGTAGTAACCATATTTCAGGGTACAAGGTAATACGTAATAAACCAACAACAAAAACAACAGGTTTCCCAATCATGTTTACAACCACATTAAACACATGAATTCATTCACTAGCTCAGTCACTAAATCTACTTTCAAAATCTACCACAATTCTAACTGTAGAAGTCATAACATAATTTACCTCCTAAAATGCACACTATGCCAGAAACAATATGTAAGAAAATCTGAATGGCCTTTTCACTACAGAATTAATAATTATCGCAATCGAATTAAGACGACTCCCGATGAAAAACACGATTTCAAAACCCATGCTAAAGTCACTTTAATTGAGAGAATAGAAAAGTTCAAAGCAGATAACATTAGAAAGATTTTAGAGTTCCATGAAAATCCGTCGATACAACGTCTAAATACACACTACCCAGCCGGGTTAAACCATAAATTTAACAATATAGATAGTACTAATATATAACACTACAAATCAAAACCTACCCACATTTCTCACCCACACAAGAGAGACATTCTTACGGAGGTGTTGAGGCCTCACACTTATACACTAACCCACACGAATATATACACTTACACACATCATACTCACTCACTCCCTAATGAGGCAAATGATAACACACACCCAGAGCAATACACACGCTTACACATACCATACTCACTCACTTCCTAAGAACCAAATAACACAGACACAAATACTTAACAGAGGCAAATCCCCTCTCCAGGACCAATAAAACTGTCAAACTGACCAGGGGAATTCAGAGCAGCATAGATCCATCCAGCTCTTATCTCAAATAACAACTTAAATTAAACTGTTTGACCAACACAAGGAATGTTAAAAGATTCATGTTAAAAAGATAGCATAAATTAAAAAAAAAACAAATGAAAACAACAGACAAAATTTCATTTTCTCTATCAAGACATTCATTTATGTAGTTCACTGCTACCAGCAAGCAGAAATATTTCTCCTCCTGATGATGGCCATTTTGGCCAAAACTAGTCGAGGAATCTAAATGAAATAATAATAAAAAAACGAAAGAATAATAATCTACAACTCAGTGTGTCTGAAGATTTTAATTTTTTAATATTTTTTATTGTTCAAAGTATATACATCAGCTCGCCAATTCCCGAACCGAAATACATTACACGAAGTTCACTAGTCAGTATATCAAATTCTGTTTTATATATATATATATATATATATATATATATATATATATATACGTCCGTTTTTGCTTGTGTGTGAGCATGCAAAAAATTATATCTATCTATCTATCTATATATATATATATATATATATATATATATATATATATATATATATATATATATATCATAATCATATATGTTATAATTTACGGCTCTTTTCTTAACCCTGATATAATTTTCTTTCTTTATCGACCCTTTGCAAAATAGTAAATCCCTGCTTTTCCCTTTTGCAACGTCTTAGAATGTTGCTTTTTTTTGTTTTTTTTTTATTAGTTTTTTTTTTTGTGTGTGTGGCATGATTTTTTTTTTCTTGAGACAACATCGAATGGCCTTGCGTCTCTTTTCCTGCTGCATGTCTTCACGCATTTCTTATCTACGTTTTTCATCATTTTTTCCCCTACCGCTGAACTTCGAACCTTACCCTATATATCAAACAAGCCCTATTAATAATACAGCCTCTCTTTCTCTCTCTCTCTCTCTCTCTCTCTCTCTCTCTCTCTCTCTTTCCGGCCTAAGTGATGTAATTTTTTCTTTCATTTTCTTTTCCCACGTTTAATCTTTAAGGCCTTTCTTTCGATACTTGGGCCTTACTTCTTTCGATACGTTCATGCTACCGGCTTCTCTCCCCGATTTATCATGAACGTTATTGTTTTATTATTTATATTCAAAAGAAAAAAACCCAACAAATGTCAAATTTTATGTATGCACAGGACTGCTGAGAAATCTCAAAACGCTTACACAGATTCTAAAACATTGCATTGTACAAAAGCTATTTTCATATATTTAAATATTACATAAGACTACGGTGAAATTCTTTTGTTTTCTTTGCGAGAAAATCTTCTGGAAATTTATGTTTAAATCTATAGGAGAATGGTGGTTTATGTGACTGATGGTAATCTTTTTAAAATATGTCACCTTTTTTATTCTCCTTAATGCATTTTATTGCTATTACCCTTCAGAACGCGGACAATCATGACTCTCCACAGATTCGATTCCCTTTATTATTCATGAATTACTATGACTTTATAGAGAAATACAGGAAAATGTGTGGTCGGGTTCTTTCTCCTAGAGGACGTTACCATAGTGTAACAGATAGCGTCTGGAAATGCCAAGTAGTAATAGTTTGGTAAAGGGTGTTTCATTAAGACGGATCAAAGTCTGCAGCAAATAAATCAGTGTTATTAGTGAAAATTTATTTATTTTTCTGTTGTATAATATTAATTAAATCCTGGCAATTATGTGTGAAAAAATAATATCGGCAAAATTCCCGCCAAGGCTTCGGCGGCACACCTACACTCGATGGTCAAAAGATTTGATGACGCCTCTCCATGGTTGCCTCTCGATATCACCAATATGCCTTATTATATCATCTTTCAGCTGTTGAAATTGTAATAGATTTCTTTTCGTGGCTTTTTCTATCCAGATATGGATTAAATAGTAGGACTTGTATCTGGAATTTGCATTGTTCAGACTGACCCAGTAGAAAAAAGCGTCGGTTGGATCCAGGGACTTGAGACAAACAGTTGTGAGTTCAATACCTAGCTACTGCAGATTTGAACAAAAATTGAGAGTCGATTTCAAGGGAGATAAACGAGATATCAGGAAGACGTATGTCACGTTGAATAAGAACAATCTATTGCGGTCGAGGAAAATAAAATGTCCAGTTCGAAATTCCAATCTCCCGAGGGAAGTCGGGGTGTACAACGGACTAAACTTCGTGAATATGACAATAAATATGAGGACAACAGATTGAACAATGTAAATAGTGTAAATAATTACAATACCTCAGAAATATAGACAGATATGTGTATCTGAAAATATGATTGATAACTTCAAAAAGTTGTTAATACAAAATTCATTCCCCCCACCAAAAATAAAAGACAAAAGAAACAGAATTATTGACAACAAAAAATATTTTGACATTAAATAACCAACAAAAGTTTGGTAAGCCGTAAAAACAAAAGAAATCATTTCTAGATGGTGAAGAGAAAAGCGTTACCCGATTTTTCGCCATAAATTATCAAAATCAAACAATATTTAGATACCTGAGAAGTGTTTTAATAGAGGGCGGAAAACATGAAACTGCAAACTCTAAGATGCACTTGAATAGTGAAAAGTTGTTTCTAAAAACTAAGCAAAGTATTAAGAAACAGAAAATTTTCATCAGAACCAAATACAAGAGTACGGAACTGCTACGTAATATCAGTCCTCCAGTAGGGCAATGAATGTTGAACACTTTCCACACAGATGAAGAAGAGACTTAAATCAACAGGTATTTAATTCTAAAGGAAGATGCTGAAAATACCATCGACCGACCATTAATTTTTAAAAATTAGAAAGAAAACGGAGGACTTATAATTAACATCAGAAAGAGATTGTTGAGATTTCTAGAGCACAGAATGCGGAAAGAGTGTCGGGAAATTCGATACGGCTAGGGCAGATTGGATAGGAATAGATAAAAACAAAGAATAACCTACCTAGTGAGCGTGTGTAACTGGATCGTGGAACTGGTTTTAAGAGAGATAACATAAAGACACAATTTATTAAGAGCTACAGGGGAGATGAAATTGTTGAGAGCCATGATCGTTAACGTCCTGAATAGACAAGGCACATTGAAATGTGCTTCTATGAGACGATACTGATGCTGAGAATATTATATACAGAAGACATAACCAAGAAATAAGAAAAATGGAATCAAATAGGACGCCTATACACAGCATCAGAAAGAGATAAATGAAGTTTTTAGGACAAATAAAAAGAAGTGAGAGCTTGGCGAATTTGATACTCAGAGGACATGTTGATAGCGACAGAGACAGCGGACGATGTACTTGGCGTGTTTGTGTGTATCAAATTTCGGAAAGCGTGATTAGAGTGATATGAAAAAAGACAAGCGATAGAAAGATCTACAAGAAAGAGAAAAAATCAGAGAATGATTATCGCCTTTGTTCTGAAAGGACCCTGTTCGTAAAAGTATATTAGCGCGTAAGTAAAAATTGATTATAAGCTGTAATTTGGACTCCTTTTGACAATTCCGCTTTCGGCGATGAAAACCGTTACGTTACTTGAACATCCTAACATTATATAGGTTTACGCGATAAACAATCATCATGATCATCAGTCTCCAACCTGCTTCTATCGTCAGTGTGGGGTTCTACTGGCAGAAGAAGCAGACCACCTCCTCCATGATCATCTCTTGTCGGTGGCTCTCAGGTGCTCCGGTATTGTCATGACTGTCCAATCTTTGACGTTTTCTGACCAGCTCTTGCGTTTTTGTCCGCGCTTGCGTCCACCTTTAACAGTGCCTAGCATGTCTTACAGATTATTTTATGCCGTGTGTTACCAAACCTTGCCACCTCCCGACGCTTAATAGTGGCGACGAGAGATATCTGTTGTCCCAAAAGTCATTTGACCTTGCTCCGTACACCGTCATATATAGAGATATATATCTCAAAAATTTTATAGAACAATCTTATTCATTCCGTGTTGATCATTTAAATTAAAAACATCTTTAAATTGAAAGCAGAATATCAATTTTACGCTTAAAGAGATCAAAATCTAACTTTTCTTCTTCTCAGCCTGTGAATGTCCTTAGACACCAGGAAGGCTTACGTCCAACAAATGAGAAATGGCCCATTACCCTAAAGTGTTTGCCCATTAACGTGATTGTCGGGTAGATGTGACACTTTGGTAATCGTGTCACTCTTGGGATTCATAACCGCCCGAGGATATGAATCGAACTCGGCTCTCCGATTTCTCATTCCATACTTTTATCCATTATGACACATAGAATGCAACTTACAGCAACTACTATTGCGTAGTATTTACTCTTCTTTGTACTGATGTCCTCTTCTGATCAGTAAAGCAACGTCGAGCCTGGTCAAAGGAATCAAAATATTAGGTTGGTGCAAAAAGAATGACGTAATGATGTCGTTTTTTGACGTTAAAAAATACGTCAAAAAACGACATTGAGAAGGTAGGGCTGCCCTGGGTCAACAGGGTGACTGCTGGAAGAACCTGTCTCTCGCAAAAGGACTCTGTAGCATGCCACACAAGCAGGGGAACCCAGTCTTGGTTGTCAGACAATTTCTGCAACCATATCACCCCTTAAATCTGGTCACCTAACTCCCCAGACTGCAACCTCCTTGATTATTACGTGCCAGAAGCAGTTGAGCGAGAAACCAATACCAAAGATGAACTGAAGGCAAGGATTATGACAGCATCTCCAATTTCAGAAAAGGAGTCGTCTGGAGGCCCTTGTTGAAGCCAGTGGCGATTTTATTGAACAAATTTACACTTTAGTATTTCAAGATGCTTTTGTGTAATTTTGGTAAATATACTAAACTTGAGATGTCAGTGTCATTTTTGATTAACCTAATCGACAATTTATCAATCGCACTCTGCAAATGCCCTATTTATTTGCATTTTGCTTAAAACGTACAAGTTACTTACATACACCATCCATGATCTTCTCAGTATCCGTCAGTAGTTGCACAATGCTTTTGCCTCAAGTTTCCTCTTCTATTGCGAGGAAATTGTCCAGCATTCACTGCCAGAAAGATGGATTGCTATTACACGACAGTTCAGCACTCTTGATCGCTTAATTTCACAACATGTCAAACTTTACTGCGTTATGTACCACTGAAAATAAATCTTGTAGAACACAAATCATGGTGAGTTACTATGTATTAATTCATAGATCCGGTTTACGGTTGAGTCAGAAAGACAGAATCCGGCTTATCCGAGACTATAAAAGGTAGAAACAGATCCGTAGATCCAAATTATACAATACTCAAAAAGGTAGACACTCACCAAGCATATATATCGGTCTACACATATCAATACGAAGGTGACCCCTGCGTGCGAAAGACATTTACACGTCTCGCGAGTATGCAGTAGGCGTATTTCTAGAAGAAATGCTTTATAAGGATATTACATCGAAAACATGTAAAACTGTTACACAATTGCAGTCGTGTTTCAACATACAACGATGTGTCTCATATTCCTTTCTCACAAAACAGGTGATGTATATTGATCGCAAGTAATTTGCAATCGCCTGATGAGATGCATTGATATGCGTTGAAACTCGACTGTAATGTGTCTCACATTCCTTTCTCACAAAACAGGCGATTTATATTGCTCGCAAGTAAGTTGCAATCGCCTGATGAGATGCATTGATTTGCGTTGAAACTCGACTGCAATTGTGTAACAATTTCATATGTTTTCGGAGTAATATCCTACAATAAATAAAATTGCCCTACTCTGTACGTTTTATAATTAAATGTTACAAACGATGGAATTGTACTCTATCTCTTCTCGTCGTACCTGAATATATATATATATATATATATATATATATATATATATATATATATATATATGTCCCGGAAAGGGATATATTTGATCGATGTAGCTAAATGGGTTTTTTAGCTACTGTAACCAAGTAGTACACGGTAGTAATAATCGACTGGTACTCGTCGTAGTCTCAGGTAATAGGTGTAGACCAATTGGATAACGAATGGCGTAGTCCAATGGGCGTCGTCATAGACTTAAACTCTG